TATGATATGATATGATATGATATGATATGATATGATATGATATGATATGATATGATATGATATGATATTATAATATAATAAATATAACATAACACAACATAACATAATATAATTATTATATTGATATAATATAATTATTATATTATAATAATATAATAGCCAAAGAGCCAGCGCTGTCCAAAGACGTCTCTGTGGTCATGTGGCTGGCATGACTCAATGCCAAAGGCGCACAGCATGCTATTAGCTTCCTACCAAAGGTGGTCCCTATTTTTCTACTTGCATTTTTACATGCTTTCGAATTGCTAGGTTGGCAGAAGGTAGGACAAGTCACGGGAGCTCACCCCATTAAATGGCGCTAGGGATTTGAACTGCTGAACTGCTGACTTCCTGATCGACAAGCTCAGCGTCTTAGCCCCTGAGCCACTGCGTCCCTTCATTAAACTAGATACACTCAATTCCTGCTACTGTTCTTGATATGTTTGAGCCCCTGGTCCTAAATGTTGAGATTACACCAGACATTTCTGGAACCCAGAATTCTCATAGCCTTCTGAAATATTGTCACCTCTAGTAGAAGCCATTCTGAAAACTCTCAAAAAAATGTGCTGGTTGAACCAGTGGTGGGATTCAGCCAGTTCAGGCTGGTTTGAGCGAACCGGTTGTTAAATTACTGGCTGGCCCTGCCCCTTTCTGACCCACCCCTTCTAGGAGTCACCACCACCCCGTTTTGCCTCAAAGGAAGTGCAGGGAGGCCTAGTAGACCCAAAATAGGGTGTGGGGAGGGTGCGATGAGCCCACAGCCCATTTTTGCTCCCAGGAGGTTGCAGGGAGGTCTACTAGCCCCCAAACAGGGCGTGGGGGTGTGGAACGCATGGGGGGCATGAGGGTGCTCCCCCCATGGCCCGTTTTTGCTCCCAGGGGGGTGCAGGAGGCTGAGTGCTGCCTATCATACCCCCTGGCCATGCCCACCATGGCCACGCCCACCCAGCCAGTCATTAGGGCAGAGAACAGGTTGTTAAATTATTTGAATCCCACCACTGGGTTGAATCCAGAGAGGTTTCCGAGTAGTTTGGTTCTCCTAGGCCAGGGGTCCGCAACCATAAACACTCAAAGAGCCACTAAGGTCCCAACCGGAAGCTCCCCATTCAATTCTAGAGCCGACCAGAAGTCCGGTTCCCCCACTATAGAGTCTCCTCCTAGCACGGCATCCTTTTCCCCCTCCCTTCCCTAACCAAAAGCCCTATCAATTTTGGAGCTGATCGGAAAACCCAGCCCTTACATGAGAGTCTTCTCCTGGCGTACCGTGCTTCCCTGCCCCAACCGGAAACTCCTCCCAAAACTGTGGCACCGACTGGCAACAGGGAGCCACACCAGAAGGATGAAAAAACCACATGCGGCTCCAGAGCCGCAGTTTGCTGACCCCTGTCGCCGGCTTAGAACTGGAAAGCTTTTTCTCTCTCTCTCTTTTCCAGAGTCACCGGCTGCAACGTTTGGCCAGGACAATTCTTCTAGCTTTGTCACCTTCGAGGTTCCTGACAGCCTCGGGCCCGACTTTAACCTCTCCTTTTTTATCCGGACACGGAAGGCCAGTGGCCTCATCTTCCAGATCAGCAATGGAAGCGATGTTTTCCTTACGGTGTACTTGAAGGAAGGGAAGCTCCAGGTCGAAGCACCACCGGCTGCTTCGGTGGGGTCATCTGGAAATCTGGCCGATGGCACCAGGCACTTCGTGGCACTCTCCTTCCACGAAGGCCTCGCTCGGGCCAGCCTGTTGAACAGAGAAGAAGAGCTGGGAGAACTGGCCGTCACCCTTCTTGCTGCCAATTTTGAGATTCACGTGGGTGGGCTCCCCCACCAAGAAAAACTGGAGGCCTGGGGAGGCCCTTTTAAAGGCTGCCTGCAGGATATCCAACTCAATGACCACCAGATGCAGTTTTTCCCTCCCCCAGATAACGACAGCCT